GCTTAGTACTAATACAGCCAAATCAAAAATACTTAAATACAGTATCTGAGGAGAAAAAATGGACCACAAAGGATACTGGAATGATGACTTGTTCCAACACACTAAAATATTTTATCACGCTATCTCAATACATTAGTCTCATTAAACTATAACCCATTTATTAGTACATGAAGCAAAAGATGTCACCCAAGCAAAAGTTAAAACTAATTTGCTTGGGCAGGATTTCAACAATTAAGATGATTATTTTGCCCAAATGTAATCTCTTTTTCAAATTGTACTGTACTGATTGCTATTGGTGCTTTGACCTTAGTCAGCTGGCAAAAGTTGATTATACAGACTTTATAACCAAGGGAATAGATTGCAGGTCACTGAAGCTACCAATTACATGGATGTCAAAGCTGGCATTCACCTTCCAAGTGTATATAATGAAGCACACTCAATTAGAATCACTAGAAGCAGTAAGGGAGATAAATGGTTTCATTTAGAAACCAAATTTGCTGACTGGAGATTACTTTAGAATCACAAAGAATTAAAGGCATCCACATATAATCTATCATTTTTCACTTAACACCCTTAGAATAAAACACTATTTAAAAATTACTTCCTCTCTTTCCCCTTCCCCTCCCCTTTCTCTATCATTCCACCATCCTTTAAAATAAAGAAAGAAAATGTTCAACTTTAAGACTGGGAAACAAAAGGTTTATTTTTTTTGAAAGGTTTATTTTCAAATCATCTTAAATCCAGACTACAGCTGAAAAACTGTTCGTGGGAATTAAATTATCCTTATTTAAGACTCTTCAGATGACTCATCAGTATATCATTTCACATAATCCAGGAGCAAGCCATCTATCCTTTTGTGGAGTTTGAGACGCTGTTGTTAGGAACTGAAAATAAAAATAAAGGATCAACAGCAAAAGTCTACAATGTCTTAACTGAGAAAACCTCTACAATGCCCTCAGTCTCAAATAGGTTTGAGAAAACTATTTAAACATACTCAACATACTGATTATCAAGATTGGGGCAGTGTAAACACTGACCAAAATTGCTTACAGGTGATATCTCACACTGCTGAAACTGATCTATGTAGGTGCTGGATGAATGGGGATATAATTTGGGAAGATTTCCTCCTCCCCTTTTTTGATTAATTATCTTTCATGAAACAGAAAAAGGAACACACATACCACTAAGCTCTTTTACTGGCTTTGAGGGAGCTGTTATTATTTCAAATGCCTTGTTAAAACCCCAAACATCAGTTTATTTCTCTGGTAGTGGCAAACAAAGGATCCTAACTGGAAGACTGATCATCATCATTATTCAGTATCCAAAATTTGGCTCACAGCATTTAAGAATGAATTAATTGTACAAATCAAAGACTTAAGTAACAATCACTGCAACCAATTTTTCCAAATGTAATTTCCCTGTACTAGTTAATAATAACAGTGTGCCGTCAAGCCAGTTCTGACTTATAGTGACCCTTTCCAGGGTTTCCTAAGTACAGTAGCGAGTACTCAAAAGTGGTTATTGTTCCCGTCTTCTGGGACCATCTTGGGATTGAGCAGCTTGCCCAATGCTACACAGGCTGTCTGTACTCCCTGGAGGCAAAAATGAGGATCTCCCAGGCTCTACCTAACTCACTGAGCTATCCAGCCATCTCTATACTAATTATATTATAGAGTCCTGTATTCTCCACCCAGTCACATGCATAATTTGAGAATATGTACCTTGATTATGTCTTATTTATTCAAGCAGATATGAACAGTTTAATTTCATATTGATTCATGTTAATTTTTATTACTTTGGCTTCATTGTTTATTGGATAGTGTTTTTGTTTTTTTGCATGTTAATCTCTCTCTCTTTTTGAAAGAAAAACTTTTTTCCCATCTTCTATTTCCGGGTGAGCAATTTAAGAAATAATCCAGAGTTGGTGGTTTGGATGCCACAAAGAGTTGTGATTGAAACAAGCCAGAGTTCGTAAGTGAAGAACCATGAAAAATGGGCTCTAGTTTATGGAGTTAATGTGGTGCCTTGTTAGAAGGGAAGTCCAGGCATCACAAGACAAATGTTAACAAACCATACCATGGCTTGCCACAACATAGAAATATGGTGAATTGATTCAGTGACCCATTGGGTCCCTTCCAACTCTACAGCTCTTAAAAGATTATTGTTAATCTTTTCTGGATTACCAATAACATGTCACTAATATACTTCTGTCCTTTTGTTTCGTTGATTTGTGAGCAATCCTTCAAGAGCAGTGTCAGTTTCAAATAAGCAGCCGTTTCAGCTAATTGTTTCAGAAAGATTCCAACCACTGTTGATGTCTCAGAATCCATATTTATGATTTCATATGCAATGAATTTGATCAAGATTCAACATAGTAATTTATGTATACCCACTGAAATCAATGGGACAATTTAGTCATGATTAGAATCTCACTGAATTCATTGTGTCTGCTCTAAAGTATGACTGAATCTGGATCTAGCCTAAACTTTTTTCACCGTAATTTTATTACTTATTTTTGACTTACATTAATGTGAGTTATTTTACTAGCAGAAGTGGATAAAGTGCAGCCCTCCCAGTGTGCTTGAACTTTAAACACCAGCTCTCCTCACTACCACAGCCAGTGAAGAAGACTTGGAGTTGCAGTCTCCAGCAATCCTTAGTCTGGACTCAACATAATATTTCCAGATGTCGTACACAAACTGTATTCGTACAAACAAGAGACATCTGGTACTGTGCCTGCCAAAGGTGTATAAGTGAGTGCACCAACATTTGAGATTTCCCTTCCTCAGAAATGATATTACCAATTTAACAAGAAAGATACTTTCTTAGTTGAAAAACAGGAATATGGAGTGAGTTAAGGAAGACAAAGGTTCAGTGTTCACAATGCCTATTTAATTACACTTTCTGTATCAGTGTCAGAATCTGTTACAAAATAGTTCTATTTAAAAAGAAGTAAACAAAGATTCCAATCAATTAAGCTAGAGGTGAATGAAGATTGGCCTTCCAGATGTTACTGGGAGGTGCTTTCCAGTATTCCTCACCATTCACTATGCTAGCCAGTGGGAATTGCTGTCTAACATCTGGAGGGCCATACTTTGCCCACCCCTCTGTAGGCAGAAGCAAATGAAAACAGAGCCCTTACGTCACATTTAACACTGAAAAAAATACAGGCTATAGCATCTGAAATTTCCCCTCCTTTTTCTCCACTGAAATGTTATTATTTGCTTTGTCTTTGTTAGGTCACACAAAGAGGGAGAGAGAGTGAAGACGACAAAATTGTTGTGGTTAGATGCAGCAGATGTACATTTCATTAATGCACTAGGAAATACATTTTATTCATAAAAGTTTACAGTGTTTGCATATTAAAATAACAGAGGAAACTCCCACATTACTTCTAAAGTAACCCTCATCTAACCCACCTCCCCATCCTCATATTCCTCTACAAAGGCACCAGGGCAGAACCATGTCTGGCATTCCTCTGGAAGGAAATGCAATATATAGAATGCAATCCATACATTTTGTAACACTGTTTCAACAAAATTATTTACAGCAAGTACAGAAGGAACCATCTGCATTCTGGCAAATCCAGCTCCTAAACCTTCTCTCTTTTTTGCCATAATATACACAATATCCTAGAAATTTTCTCTATGCCTTCTCTGAGCAGTCTTGCTGAAATGACATCACCAGTTTACACATAACACCCCATAATCCCAGTTCACATCTCTGAATAATCCAGGTAACAGCTCAACTTCTGTATCAAGCTTGTAGAAAAATTCAGAGACAGAGAAAGAAGGGGCCATCCGTTTCCCTTGTGCAATGGAAACAGTTCTTTCTACACTTTTACATTTTCTGAGGTGCAGAGATATGAAAAGGCACTTTTGGACTTTTAACTCCTAGAATACTCTAGCTAGAATGTCTGGTGGCCATCTTGGCTGAGAAATGTTGAAAGTTTTTCTCTTCTCAAGGTATATTGAAATGCTAGGTATTATTGGAAGTACTATTACTACATCCTCTAAATCCAGACCTTTAAAAAGGTACTTTTCTGCCTACACCACACACACAAAGACAAAGAGACTTGCCCTATTACCATTTCTGCCAGGTGTACAAACATTTTCCCATAGAAACATACAAGCTAGTTTCTCCTCCTGAAAATGATGGGATTTTTACTATTTAAGGGCAGCAGTGGCAACAACATTCATTCATTAAAACTCATTGCTAGTTCTTTGGCACAATATCAACTTTTAAGTAAAAAAGGAATAGTGTTAAACATGCATTCCCACATGTATGCTTGCCGTTGTTTATTCAAAACACTGTAGACGCTAACTTAATAACTGTTAGCTTCAATAGTTTTTGTGCATTTACCATGCACCTTTTTTAGAGTCGACTAGAACAGGTTCTTCCTGAATGCCAGAAGAAAACTGTACTTTTCAAGAGAGCTAAAACAGCAGAAGACAGCACTGCTCTTGGTGTATGTTTATACAGACGCACACCCACACATTCCGTGCTTCTTCTGTCCTACTGGCTCTGGCTGAACAAAAAGGCTTTAGCTACATTTTAACTTTGGTCCCAAAGGGGTTTGAGCTGCAGAGTCCAAGGTTATGGTATGATTCACTGTCAGCCTGTCTATGCTTCAAAAACAAAATAGCCGTTTCACTCTTTTGAAGCACCACGAAATTTTCAAACATTATTATTATTATTATTATTATTATTATTATTATTATTATTATTATTATTATTATTATTATTATTATTATTA